CCTTGCTGGGGGTCCCACTCGATATTGGCACCGACGTAACCAATCCACTTCCTCACAAGTACCAACCAGTGTGCCTTTTTCTATAATCTGTTCCTGGTCACAAAGGTTCAGCACACGTACTCCTGAGATGTCAGTGGTTCTGACCAAGGTTCGAGCTACTTTCCATGGAAGGTCATTGTTAACCCTTTCCACGAGTACACAACGGGACTTGCCCAGGGTTCCGAGGAAGACTAACCGGCACAATCATTTCCGATCTCGGCGGAAAAACAATCTTCTTAATGCTGTACACGTTCCCTGGTAACGCACCTTCCAAAAGTTCCTCCTGTTCACATTTCAAAACACCTTAACGTCGATTTCACAACTGTTATTCCTCATAAAGTCTAGGCCCAGGATGCGGTCGTCCATTATATCAGCCACGATGACATTATGCAGGTAGATCACGTTGCCTAGCTTCAACTCCATCTCCTTCTCTCTACGGACGGGTATACGCTGACCGGTGGCTGTTACCAAATTAATGCGTTCTCGGTTGTATGCGGAGTCCCTAAGGAACTGTCTTATAAGTTGGGAACTAACAACCGTGCGAGAGGCTCCAGTGTCTATGGTCAGTTTACACGGCATTTCGTTGTTGGCTGTTCCCATCATGGGTTTGTGAGATCGAGATCCTTGGGGCTCTTTTAACATCAGCCAGCACCCGCCCCGCAGTTCTGGCTTTTACTCGTTTCCCTGCTGCTGCTGGGCGGAGCTGTTAGCCGCACCACCCTCCTGATATTGTTCACCTTCCCTTTCTACCGTTCGTTTAGGGCAGCTGGATCGAAGATGGCCCCTTTCACCACAGCCATAGCACCTAGGGCTGTATCCTTTATTGCGGTCGCGAACCGTAGCTGCTGCAACCTCCCTGACGCGATGGCAGCGAAGAACCTGCCGCACGGCTTCCACCTCCAGTGCATGGGCCAAGGCGTCCTTAAGCGTCTCGTGGTGCCCGAGCCTCACAGCAGCTCTGACCTCAAGGTCGCGGATGCCGTCGATGAATGTCTGCACCAGGTTCCCTTCAATGAGCGCAGGTACAGACTGGTATGCTTTTCGAACCATCTTCTCCACCTCAATGGCTCACTGCTGAAGGTTTTCGTTGCTGCGTTGCACGCGATCTTTAAGCTGCGTGCGAAAGACGTGTTCCAGATGAGCGTCGCCATATCTCCCCTCCAATGCCTCAAGGAGCTGCTCGTAGGTCACTTTCTTACCGAGAGCTTCCAACACAGTTAAGGCTTGGTCGCGCAAGCCTAGGGTGAGTGCAGTCATGGCCTGGCTTTTATTCCAGCTGTTGGCCTCCATGACGGCCTTGAACTGGATTTTGTAGGCCGACCAGGAAGAAGTCCCGTCGAACGGCGGCACTTTGAATCCACGTTGCGAAGGTTTTATAGCTACTACGCGATCTGTAGTTCCATCCCCTAAGTTTGAGGTCGTTCAGCGTTTTCTTCACGTCAGCCATCACGTTGTCAACCCGATTATTCACTTGGTCGATTTGGGTTTCAGCTTTCGCGATTTGGGTTTCAGCTTCCGACAGGCGGTTGTCATGCTGAGCACCCCTATCCTTCACCTCCTTTATCTCCTTCCCGAAGGTAGCGTGAAGGTCCTTCATGAGGAGCATCTGCTCTTCCAACCGACGGGCCTGTTCCTCCTGTCGGCGGGCCTGTTCGTCTTGTCGGCGAGCCTGTTCTTACTGCTGCTCTTACAACCAACGGGCCTGTTCATCCTGTCCGCCCCGCAGTGGCTCTACCAACCGACGGACCTGTTCCTCCTGTCGACGGTCCAATTTAACAATGCAACGTGACATCTTCGGCGATAAACTTTAACATTTCAAAAAATACGCTCTCCGCACGGACGCTCACAACGACGTGTGCCCTCACTTATGTACCCGTTCGGGTTGCTGTCTAGCTGACTACGTGAAAGCTCGGTATTTTCCGGCGAACGCTTTACGTAATTAGTTAATTTACTTGTTTGGCGCCGACTCAAAATCACTTAGGTATACTTACATTAGTTTAAGAACTACGTTATTAAGGTAAAAGAAATAGGTGTATTATTTTTTGCTTTTCAGTTTTTTCGGCTGTTTAATTTTTTTGTTAAAAAGTTTTTATTATTAAATAGGTATTAAAAAAGACTGCGGCTGCCAATCCGCCTACTTAGCGTGGCAACTGCGACTAATATCACCCTATGAACCAATCTATTGGGGAGGCCTGTGTTCAGGCCTGAACTTTTAATAGGCTGTAATTATAATTATATTTAACTTCCCAGTGGGAAGTTATTGTAATGGGTCCGATTTTGCAAATTGGAAATTTTAACATATCTCCACGTTTCAAGGTCTTTAGAGTCGAATAGTATGGTTTTTAAGAGGATATCCGTGTGTGCACATGTACGCATATATGTATGTATGTATGTATGTTCGGATTCAATTTTCGCCTCGTGTATATGACAGTCTAAAGAGTGATATTGACATGGGACCAGATTCATTTAACGCATAATTATGTAACTTAGACCTCATTAAATTTTGAGCAAAATCGGTTAAGTCGTTTTTTGTGCCGAATGAAAAATTGTATAAAATATTAAAACATACGATATTTTTTTATTCTTTCCACTGGGAAGTTAGTCGTGTGTACCTTTCGGGTCGCACCTAGACTAAAAAAATAAGTCTTATGTCGAGCTGGACCGAAAGTGCAATTTTTTCTTAATTTAGTGGAAGAGAAAAATCATTGAAGTAGCACATTAGGTATGTATGCTTGTTAAAAATAATTCCAGTTAAAGTTAGGTAGAATTAAATAAAATCACTATATTCAATATACAATATTATTTTCAAAAGAACATTCAAAAATTGGTCCTAAAGTTAAACAGTGTTAACAATCGCTCTGGAATGTTTCTATCATTTAAAATTGGTTTCATAGCTGTAACAGAGAGCAAATTTATTGCAGATTTGTCAACAAGGGATAATCGTACTATCAGTAAATTTCATTCATTTTAAATATGCTACCCAATTACAAATACTGTGTACCCAAAAATTAATACAAGTTGTGAAAAAACAAATGTTTTTATAATGTGTGAAATTACAAATTTCATAAAGAAACGTAAAATGGAAAGAAAGTAAAACCAAAATTCTGAATATTCCAGAATCCCGCAAATCCCATCCTAAGTGATACATGAGATCCTTAACAATAACAATAATCTATCTAGTTATAATAATTGATACTATAATAATTATTAATACCTATTGACCATTGAGACCGACATCACAGTAAAATCTACTAATTACATCTTAGGTTCAGGAATGATCTTAAAATAAACTTATAATTAATAAGTTAATAAAATTTACATTTGCACTATTATTAGAAACAGATTGGGCCATTCTCAGGCGGATAGACGAACTTCTCTAATTAACCAGGAAAGCGAGAACATTTAATGATATTATATTATAATCCAACACTACTTAGACTCTTAGCCTATTACAGTGAAAATTATTAATAAAGGCGGAAAAAGACAGCGACATTGAATGTTTCACGTCATATAAAAGTTTAATATTGTACATTAACGATTATTGCAACTTCTTTATTTTTAATATGCACGGTGATAAAATCTTTTTAAATAAAGTGTATTCACAAGAAATACATCGATTGTAAAGGAAAAAGAAAACGACAAAACAAAAAGATACCGACTAGACTCTCAGACAAACTGAGAAAGATAGACGGAATAGAGTAGAAAGAAAGATAGAAGGAGTAGAAAGGTAGAAGTAACGCCGAAACCAAGCCTTAACATAGTTCAACTTTATGTAGGAACACGCACTCACGCACATATACATCTAAAAATATTTGCAACCAACACCATGGTTATAGGTGTAATATAATATCCGGCAATCGACTTTTACACGATAATAAAGGAAAATATATTATGCTATTATTGTTATATTTCCCCATATTCTCTATTCACATTGAATGTCACATTTTGATAATGTGACACATTCAAGTTTTCATTCATTCATTCATTCATTCATGTGCACATTCTTTACAGGTGATTTAAAAACACTGACTTTTTGACACAGCGCTTTTACCCAAATCTGGAAAAGTTCAAGAAGAGTTAGAATTTTGGCCGTCTTACTTAGGTATAAAATATTTATATTTATTCCCATAAAATAAGAAAGTTTTAGAAATATATTATGTTTATAATTTTAAAGCAGCGGTTGGCTTGTAAAATGTTGTTTTGTGGCATTTGCCAATTACGTCTGATCCCGCCTTTATAGTAAGAGTGAAGACTCAGAAGCAAAATCTAAACGCGTAATTTACAAAATTGTAACATACATTGACTTTATATTAAACATTCGCTAAACATGTATTGCCCCACTTCATTCACTCTTCATAAATACATTAAAATAGGAAGTAAATAAAATTATTGAAATGTCATTTGTGCTATTATTGCTATAGGAATAATTGCAAAATAAATACCGTTATACCGTAATACCGTATATATAATAATACCGTAATAGTGTATATTGTGTAAATACTACTCTGCAACAAAAAAATCTATAAAAAAAAAGATTGTGAACGAAACACGGACGTAATCTATGACTACGGGTTTATTATTTTTCTATTAGTTCAGTATTGAATAAAAATCTTAGTTCTACAATATAATATTTACAAACATATTAACAATTATAAATCCTATAAATATTTTGAAATGGATATTCCATAATAAATAATCTATAAAACAATGTCCGAAAAGGTTTAGTTTTCGGAAAATTATTAATAGTTATTATTTCAATACTTATTTAATATTCCTTCGAGCGGATTAAATTCTGATGTTAAATTCCTGTTTGAATTACTTTGGTCATTATTTACTTCATATTGGTCACAAAGTTTGGATCATTTTATACAGTGTACACACAAATCAAATCAGATACGTCTAATTGACTACAAAATGCACTAGAAAACAATTCTACGTCAATATCAATTGAAATCTTATTTTTACAGTATATCATTTAAGAAAGAATTGTCTAAAGAGTTTAACAACTCCTGAGCAGTAAGGTTACTGGCGTCTGTGGAAGGCATGTTATCAAGGAAGTCAAAGTTGAAGTCTGTCGTTTGTCCCGTAAAGGAAGACGTACTGTGAAGCGAAGGGAAGGAATGCTGTGCTGCATTATTGCTGTTCTGAGTCTGCATTGGACCGTTCTGTGACATCATAGAATTCTGTTGTTGCATAGGATTACTTTGTGCATGCATCGGTCCTGTTTGTCCTTGCATGGGACTGCCTTGCATGGGGCTGCCTTGCATGGGACTGCTTTGATGCGTTCCGCCCATGCCACCCATTCCAGCCTGTTGCATTGACATGCTTTGCGATTGGCTCATGTGAATATTCTGTATCTGTAAATAATATCACACAGTATATTAATTATTCAGGATTTTTAAATTTTTTATTAGAAATGACAGTACAATATTTACCCGAGACAATATACGCAATATATTGTCTCGGGTAAATATTTGAAAATCATATCTCAAAAAGGCCCGTCTTCGTAAGGCAAAGTTCGATGGAAACCGAAATAGGAATGAAATTATCACCCACCGACTGGAGTTAACAAACCAGTTCAAGTTACTAATACTATGAATCAAACAGGTTAAAAGGTTTACTCAGAACAACTTTATGTACGTTAGATTTTTTACACCTTTGTCTAAATTAAAGCAAACTTGATCAATTTCATAATCCTAAAATAAAGACAATTAAAAACTTTTTTTATAGAATAAGGGCGACAAACGAGCAAACAGTCCACAAGATAATGATTTCTTAAATTTACGCGAACATTGAATAAAACAAATTCACGGATTCTATCGCGTTTATTTAACTGATTTTACTTATTTTTAATTCCCGACGTTTCGGGTGCTTTACAGCACCCATGGTCACGGGGGGGACTGAGATGTTTGACGTCCCAATGTCATTGTTAGCCCGGATATAACACTTACGTGACTTACGTATAAACACTTAACCCTTCAATCTCTTAGCGGATTCGACAGCGGCGCTATTCACACAGCATTTTAAACCAATAAAACTAATATTTAGTTAGAGACTACTTTTCTATGAAGAAGTTTGACATTATAGAATCAATATGAAATTTTCTATCCTCTAGTGCAATAAAAAAACAGTTATCCTATGGATATTTATTTATAATGTACGTTCATTACGTATGCCATGTTCGCGTGAATGTTATTGTGTTGATTTTTGGATTTTTCTAGTGTTTTATTAGTGTTTTAGTATAGTATTTTATTATAAAATTGTAATTAAGTTTTTGTGTGAATATAATTTATCTTTTTACATAAATAATTTCGAGTAATATATATTGAAAAAATTGTGATATTCACGCTGCCGACATTAGCTTGATATGTTTTTTCCTTATTATGAAAATACAATAGTCTTTTTTGTAATGAAGTAAAACCTGAATTTTATATGGAGAATTTTGTATAGATTTTATAATGCCAAACTTTTTCATAGAAAAGTAGTCTCTAAATATAAGTTTTAATGGTTTAAAGTGCTGCGAGTGGGTGCGGTTGCATGCGACCGCATGGGATTTGACGGACGCATGCTACTGCATGGGATTGTTATGGGGATTGAAGGGTTAGGCAACGTACGAGAGCATGGTGTTAAATAATAAAAATTCAAATTGAACACAAAAACGTACCTGTCCTTGCACACTCATCATTTGGTTCTGTTGCATTATGAGATGTGACATCGGTGACTGCTGCTGGTTCGATGTCCTGAAAATAAATACGTTAAAATTAATAATATAATACGTTACTCATAAATCGATGTCAATTTGATAAACTTGCAGTTTCTCTCTCTATTCACTAAATGACAATAAAGAAAAATAAGTTAATTTAAGTGTTTCATCAGTATATTAGAACATATACATAAACACTCACGCCTGTCACCCAGAAGGGTAGGCAGAGACTACAGACTTCCATTTGGCATGATCCTGACACACCTCTCTCGCCTTTTCCACATTCATATACCTACGCATACATGCTCGTCGGTTAAGGGCACTCTTAATTTGGCCTATTTTTAGTATAATGCCAATTTGGTCGACAAACTTTCGCCTAGGACGTCCCTTTCCGACTCTTCCATTCACTTCTGCAACATATATTTGCTTTGTCAGTCTTTCCTCATTCATTCTTTCTACATAACCAAACCACCGAAGCATTTCTTTCTTAATCCTGGTCACCGCATCATCTTGCAAACCACACTCTGCTTTTATCATACAGTTTCTCACCCTGTCACTCAGATCCAGCCCTAACATACTCCTTAGCGACCGCATTTCTACTGCATTTATTCTACTCTCGTGCTTCTTCTGCCACACCCAACTTTCACTACCATACTATAAAGTAGGGACTAATACAGCATATCAGAAATATGCTCTTAATATAATAACAAAGATAAAATAGGTTTCATGGAATGTTTTAAAATTTTAATCGTATGGTCACTGTCTGAGAACATGCAGTCAATCATCGAGGATGTCTAAGCGAGACAATCGTACGGTACGTGGGCGGAGCGCTCCCGAACGGCCCAACATCCACTTATTAGTAAGTCGTTCGGGAGCTGGCCGGTAGGGCTGTCAGTTGCACATTTGTAATATGTTTTGATTTAATCGCAATAATACAATTTAAAGTAAGGCCGAAAAATAATATGATAGCTGAAAAAAGTAACATCTGTCAAAATATTGCCGATATTGAAAGTATACAATTTAGAACTTTATTTGCTGTCCTCTCCACGCAAAATGGAGAAATCAGCAATATAAGGGCGTGTAACTTAAAAGCTTCCATTTGCATTTCAACATATATGAGTATTCAAATATAAAAATATGTGTTAAGTAGGATATTATTACTCAAAGATATGTATGTTTTGATCTGCTTATTATATTCCAATTTAAAATAGTAAAACTCTGACATCTCTACATTTTGGTGAAGCAACTAAGGAAATAATATCCTCCAGACCGAATTTCGGTCACGACGGCCAGCCTTAACGGAGACTAGCCATCGGCATAAGACAGGATTATAGTGCCCAATGCGTTGTGCAAGCACAGCTGCACTCTCTATTCTCTAATTCTCATAGTCCGATAGGACGGTAAACCGACGCGACTGGAGGGAGATCAGGCGCAGGACCAACAACTTTAGGTGCTTTCGGAGGCACAGGGGTGATGAGACACCACCAACTCTCTGATTCCAGGACTCTACTGAGAATTTCTTGACAGACCAACTCAATAACTAATTTTTTTTTGCCTGACCCGGGATTCGAATCGCGTTTACAGCCACCAGACCAAGAGGCAGTCTAAGGAAACATACTAGAGTTGACTAGTTTCCATTATATATATTTTTTGTAGCTGTGCATGTTAAAGCCTATTTATGACATGTCTACATTTAATATCATCCCATCATGGATCCGATCGATGTATAGTGTTCGAGTTCCGTTATAGTCATATACATTTTATATTCCAGAAGTAGTATTTCCAAACACCAAAAAATAGTCTGATTAACTTATTTAATTAGTTTAAACGTGACATAAAGAATATCTGTTTATAAGTCTAATAACCCAAGCAATTTTATTTATCACGACAAATGTCTAGACGGTGTCGGCTTTTCCGACAACATCAAACGCGATGACTGACTGACTGGCATGTTCCTAGACTGTGGTTAACTATCGAATTTTAAGGAATGTTAAATTTCAATTAAAGTATTTTGTAATTAGTGTTTCATACAACTATACAAAGGTTGTCACCTCTGTTGCTGGTGTTGCTGCTGTTGCTGGTGTTGCAGCAGCTGATGTTGCTGCAGGCGCGCCTGTTGCAGTTGCATCTGTTGCTGTTGCTGCTGCGTTATACCGCCACCCATGCCACCCATCCCACCCATGCTAAAACCTGCAATAAGAATTATTATTAAATATTGACTGCATTTTTGCAATGAACCATAAGTACAATCAAACTTCTATGTGGCCTAAAAATAGGAACAATAAGTATTGTTGCGGTAAGTAACAGGTAAAGCAGCTCCATCTTTCCCCTAGACACGAGCCCAGGGGTTCCGACCCGACAAGATTACTTTTTAAGGTTCTACTAGGTTAAACTTTGGTACCTCAGGGGTATTCAAGAGTTTGAGACGTCATGTAACCGAATCACAGCATCTGAACCATTCTGAGATATTTATATATAAAAACAAGTGACTAATTTTACAAAAACATACTTTATTTTTTTTAAACAAATGTTAACCCCACACTGGGAACTTCACGTGTGTCGTGAAGACATTCTACATATACGAGATTCAAAAAAAAAATACAATTGCAAAATAATTATTTGGAGACATTGAATGAAATATAACCAATTAGGACAACGTTATATTAATTATAGTCGACCAAATCTAAGAAATACATTTTGACATCTGCTTGTACCAGGCATGCCAACCAAAAAATAGGAACGTACAATATTCGACTCTTAACAAAATCGATATCGATTATTTAGAGTTGGTAATCATTTACAGTTTGGTTTGAATAATACCAGAATAAATTAAAAACGGATAATTTAAAACAAAATATTTATTAGTGTCTACGTACTTGTTGTTACTGCTTATTTCTAGAGGCACAGTTATAAAAATAATTAAAAATAAATTTATTCAATTACTTTCAGTACAACCAGTTGGGCTGTCGTTGTTTAGATTAATTATTATTTGGTTTTCGATAATGCAGTTAGAATTAATGTCTCATTTAAAGTCATCCATAATATTTTTTTTCATGATTCATGTAATTTAAGGAATTTTAAAAATAAAAATTTAATTTAACAAATAATACATTAAAAAAATTAATAATTCGATTATTTGAATATTTTTACCGATTATTCCCATAACAATGAATTTTAATCATCCAAACACTACGGTAATGTTCATAGCGACATATCATTGAAACGACGTCAAGTAAAAAAGTTGATACCGGTAATTTTATTTTAATATTTTGCTTTGTTTGAAAGATTCAAATTTAAATTAGTGATAAATAACTGTAAACGTTGTAAAGAAATATAGATAACTTTATAACTCTTCGGATTTACGTAAAAGGTTATTTTAAATCGTGTGTGTACGCTTGTGCAAAGTTATTGCTCAACGATTAATGTGAAACGTCAAAGGGTATTTCTTAGATTTGGTTGACTATAATGAAACATCACTAAACACTGTGCAGACATTACAGATGACACTGAAGCATCGTACATAGTCTGTGCCATAAAAAGTTACCCTGTGCCTATGTTCACGTGGCCCGCACTGCCGCACTGATATTTTTTGCGTTGTCTGTTCTAGTATGTAACCTTGTTGAGTGGTATGGGAAGTATTGAGGAAAGGAGGCAGAGACGTAGTGTGGCAACAATACTTCTCTTGCCGCACGTCATGTTCCTTGTTCATGCCCGTCGCTCCCTGTTTTGTCGGTTTTTTGGGCGCGAGTCAAAGGACTGGAAATAAGAGCGCGAGTGGCCGACCATACAATTGCGCGAAGGCAATGCGAATCGAGGGCTAGTTACGGAAACGTTAGTCTATTGCGATTAACAGATGTCATCCACCATCTCCGTCGGCGAGGACGACAACGTATATATATGTATTTTTTCAACATTGATATAATTAGCTATACCAAATATGAGACGCCATGGTTTTAACCGGTGCGAACAAACTCAAACTCTTCAAACTTGAGGGCGAACTTGAATGTGAGTGGTCTATATGGATGCACTGCAAACTAGACGCCGCTTCAAGCGCGCTGCAAATTTGACGGTAAACTGGATCGTGTATGGCATCAATAATACATATTACTTGAATGATGTGATGAGCCGTGGTAGCTCAGATGGTTAACACTCGCTGGTAATATAACAGAACGCGAGTAACCCGGGTTCGATCCCCGCAGGCACCAATGAAATTGTTAATTGCAATTTTAAGTCCTGATATTACCACGTGCTCGGCGGTGAAGAAAAACATCGTGAGGAAACCTGCATGTCTGAGGAATAGGAAAAAAATATTTCGAAGACATGTGAAGTTCGCCTACACGTATTGGGGCAGCGCGGCGGACACTTCCTTGCCCTAAAACCCTCTCAGAAATGAGGGGAGGCCAGTGCCCAGCAGTGGAACGTATATAGGCTGTAACTCTACTTTACTTAAATGACTACCTTGGTGGTGGTGGGGGAACTGCTGGCGCGGCTGCTGCATGAGCACGTGTCGCCAGTCGGGCGCGTACTGGCGTGTGTGCTGGGCGTGCTGTGCATGCTGCGCGTGCTGTGCGTGCGGAGCGTGCGGCGCGTATGCACGCGGCGCGGGCGGCCGGCGCGCGGCCGCGGCCGCGGGTGCCGCGTTGAAGCGCGCCTTGTACTCGGGCGGCGGCGGCCGCATCTGCTGCTGCTGCGCGCGCAACATCTGCTGCTGCTGCTGCTGGAGCATCTTCGCCTGCTGCTCGCGCGATATGCTCGCGGCCGTCACGCCTGTACAAAACACAGGAGCGCATTATGAGCCGTAAATTACAACTTTAGTAAAAACGATAGAGGAGCCGAGCACGAGCTAAGCACAAGCTGAGCCGCTCTACTCGCGGTGTTAAGTGTGAACGTACAACGACCCTACAATATGCAAATCGATGCATGCGATGCAAATCCCTTTGTGTTCGTTAAAAAACCGACAATAGGCGGAGCATAGTCGAGCACGAACCAAACGCTCGAAGCGCGCTCGCTCGAGGCCTGTAAGTTGGTCCACACTACACGAATTTTTGCTCGGCTCATGCTCCGCTCGAGCTCGGCTCGTCTAGCGTAGACCCGCCTCAAGATTTTGACCAAGATTACACCTTTCTAATACTATTGCAAGAAAAATTACATAATAAATATTATCGTACCATTAGTACGTACATTTACATTGCACACACTTGTGTACGTACTTGCACTTGCAACTTGTAAACTTGTACTTGCAACTAACAACTATGGCAACATAGCAATTATGGCAAATATCCCCTTAACTAGCGAAAATACAAACTTGTAACTGGTGATGAGCAACTCATCTTTGTCCTTAGTATGATGTATATGTAAAAAGTATTTATTAATTAATAGTATTAGGCCCTACTTTGCGAAAATCCGTTATATTAAAGATCTTAAAAATTAATTTGCTTATATCTGCGTTATAAAATAAAATGACCTAGTTTGAAGAGCACCTCTCGCCCTAATTATCGACGGTGATGTGTCTTTCCAAGTTTGTACTAGGACCAGTGGTGGCGGGGATAGTGTACGAAATTGAGGGAGGGTGGGAGGTGCTCTCCAAAGTAGGTACGACACATTTTATATAATTACACGGATATAAGCAAATTAATTTTTAAGATCTTTAAAGTATTTATTTACCATCAGGTTAACTGTGCGCTCGTTTGTTACCCTAATGTCATACTTAATTCATTGATGAGAATTTCTCCTGTATCATATTATATTATATTATATTCAACAATATATATTCTAAGGTCTACAAGAACTTGTAACTTTGGGAATCAAACCGTCGCAACGACAAAGCCTTAGCCGGACCATCAATAGTAAAAATATGTTCGCGTAAATCATCAGTAACAGTAACAATTACACGCCTCATAACACGAAGCGTTATTAAGGGAGTGCTTTACTCTCGACACGTCAATGTCAAGCAATTTTGTAATTCCAGTTTTCAGTTTCGTCTTCTATTGGCATCATACCATATCCAAAGATTCTTTGTTGATTGTGTTTATGATTAATCAACACCTTCTACATAAAAAAATGCATCATAAAATGCTTTTGCTCTAAATATAAACGTAAGATGTAGTCGTGGTCGAACCGATACCGATAATTGAAAAAGTTAAATGGAAATTAATTGAAAATTGTAAACAATTTTCGAAATGCACGTACTCGTAACTTATCACTTATGTACATAATTTAATAGATATTTAAAGTTTTAAAACCTTTAAGTGATGAAGTCCAAATATTTATAACTTAAATAATATTATGTAATTAAATATTTAATACGTGCAATTCATGACGATCATTATACACACCAAGAGGCTGTTGGCCGGGTCCAGCGGGCTGCTGTTGCTGCGTCTGGCCGGTGGATCTATTGCGCATCGCTTGCGAGAAGTTAAGGCTTTGCGACTGGGAAACGGAGTAGGTGTCGCACCCGCTACCTGCAAATAACAAGGGAACATGTAAGTAAACTCAAAACAAATAAAAAAGACTAGAGATCCGCCCCGAATTCGCCTGGATCTTTTAAGGTAGCGTTGTTTAGATTTAAGATAATCAAAAACCATATATATATATATATACATATATATATATATATATATATATATATATATATATATATATATTTAAATCTTTAAGTTTGTCGGGTAAAATATAGACTAAATCCCTGTTAGCATTTCTCTCTATCTCTATCTCCATCTCTCTCTTTCTCTCTCTCTCTCTCATATATGCTACACACACACACACACACACACACATATATATATACATATATACACACACATATATATATATATATGTTTGTAAAGTTTCATCATAATTCCCAAGATTAGCTCTATCTATGGTTATTTTTCGTATAGTGCGCAAATAACCCCCTAGATTAATAGAAGCCGGATTGCCAACTTTCGCCGAAATCATAAATTAAGTAAAAATTAAAAACCAATCTATAAATTTAATAAATCTGTGGGAAAACACGTCCAGAGAACTAAATAAAGTATACTGAAGCCAAATTTGTAGCTTTTAGAATTTTTGTCCGTCTGTCTATGTATTCACGATTCACGCAAATACTACATGCATAAAATTTTGTATGTATGTAGTTAATGACCTGAAGCAACTTGTAAACTTATGTAATTTTTATCTGATTACGGAATTTCAAAAATAGGCAGTTAAGTATTTGCCTTACTTTAGATATTAATTTTGTATTATTTCATATACGATTATGTTAGATGTAAACGTGATAATGTAGATTTTTTTTAAAATAAATAACATATTTATATAGAAATAGTTTCACCAACTCCATTTTGCATCAAGTTATCCGATGTAAGTACAATTGAAAAGTAGTGCACTGTGATTATTGTGTGTTTATTAAATATTAGATGAGAGTATAAGCCTATCAAAAGTCCACAACTAACTTAGGCTTCCCACATAGATTTCCAAACAGTGTATTAGATGGAGTATAAGCTATCAAATAATCTTGGCTTCCCATAGATTTCCAACAGCTGTATATAGATGAGAGTATAGCTTAAAGTCACTTAGGATGATTTCACGCTGTATATAGATGAGAGTATAAGCCTATCAAAAGTCCAAATAACTTAGGTTCCCACATAGATAATGTATATAGATGAGAGTAACCTATCAAAGTCCACTAACTTAGGCTCCTAGATACGTGTATTTAGATGAGAGTATAAGCCTATCAAAAGTCCACAACTAACTTAGGCTTCCCACATAGATTTCCAAACACGCTGTATATTAGATGAGAGTATAAGCCTATCAAAAGTCCACAACTAACTTAGGCTTCCCACATAGATTTCCAAACATGCTGTATATTTGCCGAAGTTTCCACGCTAGTGGGTTGGCAGCCGCAGCTTTTTATTATTTGGACTTTTATCAAAAAGATGCTACTGGCCATCTCCTGTTACACGACAAATACATACTCATTAATTAATATAGTTCTTCTAACTCTTACCGTGAATATAACTACATTTATGAAATAATGATTTCTTATATTTACGCGAACACTATACATTGATTAAAACTATTTTTACGTGAAGCATCAACGTTCCGGGAAGTCTGCAGTTTGCGATCATATTCTAGATGGCCCCAACCATTACATCAGATTCGATAGACCACAAATCCTCGCGAAAGAACATCGATTCCTACCAAGGATGATACGTGAGGCTATTGAAATTAAAAAACATCCTAATTTCAATAGAGAAGGAGGCTGGGTACTACCACCTGCTTGGGATCCTATAATTAATAAAATTAAAACTAAACCCAAGCATACCACTGCAAGACTTCAAAATACAGTTAGTTCATTCTGCGTAGATCGGACCAAAGACAATAATTAAAAAGCTGAAGGTACTCCGGGTTAACTTTGACATCGGGACGTCAGTCACCTCAGTCCCCCGTGACCATGGGAGCTGGAAAGCACCCGAAACGTCGGGTATTAAAATTAATATAAATAAAACGCGATAAAATCCGTAAAAGTAGTTTTAATCAATGTACATTTATGAAATTTCTAAGTTTACTCGAACGTAAAAAAATATCAGAATTTTTTAATTGCCAATCAATATTCAATGCGGCCAATGATATGAATCAAGTAATGTCGCAAATAAACATTATGCCGTAAATTAATTGAAGACCATTAAATGTGACATTATTTTGTCAAAACTAAATTAACTTTAATTATGAATAATTGAACGTAGGAAGGGGCTTATATTGAGCAGTGAACTTGTGAAGGGCTTTAACAATGATAATGATGAGTGTATGACAGACATAACAAAGTGACCTGAAACACAAATCCAAAGAGAAATAAGGTAACTTTACTGTCCGTAAATTCATAGCTCTTTCTTTGTAATCCCCAAACATAATCAACAGAAACAAATTTCGATAACTACGAAATATTATAGTTATAGTTGTCAAACTTGTTTACCACCATCATAATTATTATCGCTTTCAAGACTTAAACAAAATCACAATTGCTCGCGAAGTGGACAAAATAAACAGTATGTTATCAACGCAACATTTAAAACTATTTTGAAAAGCTGGCCAGTGGGGATTGCAGAATAACAATAAAGATTTCAATGTACGCATGTCATCCCCGAAGCGCGCGACTTGACGCATTCTCACAGATCGTCAACCTCAGCACCCTCCGCGTCTCGCCAACCGCACATGCCGACCACTGTACACTGATCCCTCGCTGAACTGTTCAAAACTACTGAACAAAGATCAATTCTATATTGCACTTTACACTCATCCTACAAACTACAACGCATACTCCGCGGTACATTGTACCGTGTTATGAAAAATAAACTTAGCGCGCCTGTTTATGGAACGTTTGAGCTGGATTTGCGGCATGTAATAATTTATGATATCGCGTTTATTACATTTTTGATAAAATTGTCATTTTATCAAAAATGTAAGAAACAAATTGTGAGTCGTTAAGTCTCGCTAAAACTTGAAAACTTTGAAAATTAAATGATGTATTTTTTGGGTGCGTTGAGTGAGCCCTGCGTGGTTTAGATTAACATTAGGTGGCGCTGTTGTCGAGATACAGAAATCACCCGTGCGAAGCCGGGGCGGATCGCTCGTAATTTATTAAAAATAATTGAAATTGCATATATCCCGATCTTCTACACGTAATATTGCTCTTATTAAAACATCTATTAGATAAATAAATTTAATGGTGTCACACACTTTTTTTTATAGGATAGGGTGACAAACGAGCACACAGTCCTACCTGATGGTAAGTGGTTGCTGTGGCCCATAGACATCTACATCTATCCTCGTTGGCGAATAAAAATGAAGATGCGTTTTCAGCCTTTAGGACTAAGATGAAATGCCTCGTTTCCAGTAAAAGGGTCTCCGGTTCTCTACACTCACCATACGAAACATAGCAGCATTAAGCCACTATTTGACGCTGGTATTCTGTGAGAGCGTGGTCCTTCCCCGGTCGAGCCGACCCATTCGTGCTACAACTATACTACTAATATAACTGCAGCATGGCTCTACCACGTACGTAGTTTCTTCTTAAACCACTTTGTTGCATTTAAAAATAAATACATAATAATGATACACAATAATCCGTAATTAAGAGCAAAAAGCCTTTGTTCCATCGATAACATTTCTCTTTGGTTACTTTGTTCTCTTCTGTCTAGTTTCTGAGGATATTAATGCTGTTAGCCTTTTGGCATTTACAGCTTTTATAGGTCTATGTAAATTTTGTTCTCTTCGAATTGTTAATTCCTTATTGTTAATGATTCGTTATTGTTCGGCTTGATTAATAAACCAATATTCAAGAAATATTACTTATTTTATCATGAAACAACCTAAACCCAACAATACCTGTGATCTATGGCGAAATATTAGCAGAAACATTTTACTTCGTAACGTGATTTTTTTTAGAAAAGCTTTCAGTGTTACTCTGGTACTTTGCCAGCCCGTAGTTCAAGAATACAAAGGAGCATACCTTGATGGTGCTGAGGCGATGGCGTTCCCTGATGTTGAAAGCTCGCGTACATGCCCTGCTGTGCGGCGACCGACACGTGCCCGCCCGTGCCCGCTCCGCTAACCTGCATATGCTGGGCTGCCGACACCTGGATAGCAGAAAACAAACTTTTTATTGAATTCACTAAAATTTCGCATTCAAATGTTGTTCAAAAAGTAATATAATACACAGTAATAATTTGCTGGTAGTTTTTTGGATTTTACTACACCGTCTGGAAAAAAATAGGATGTAGAGGTAACATGCGAACGGAGTAGAAGCCTATGGCACTGATATTTTACAAAAAATAAAAACAAAAATTTAGAATTAAACGTTCATACTGCTAATTTCAAACGTATAATAGTTTGAGGTCTAACGGTTGTAAAGACTAGTCGTCTCCAAAGAATTTTAAAATGATGCCAACATAAAATAACTGACAGATTAAATGTTCTGTGAGTTTTGTGTAATTTCATATGTTCCTTTTTCGCGTTAATTTTATATATTATTGTGCAGTTAAAAGAGAATAGGGCTTAATTAATATAGAAACTTAAAAATTTAGTTAAATATTGTCAAATTTCAACCCTATTTCTTATAGAAAGTTTAAAAAAATTTGCGCCTCTTAGCTGACCTAAAAAGGAGATTTTAAATTAGATTATGTTCTTTTATATATGAAAGTCTTTTATATTGAAAGTGAACGGATTTGAGGATTCTTATTTTATTAAACAGGTTGTACTTAACGGGTGGTCTCATGTATTTACAATTATATCTTTAATTAATTTGAATACCCTCGCCTAAGAATAGGAAAAACGGGTAGAAGTTTTAATATAACTCTTTAGACGACATTGGAATTTTCGTATATTCCTTAGTCCACTAAAAAGATTTTAACCACTAAAAGGGCTTTAAATAAAACCTTTTGATGAGAAGTAAAAATTGAAGTCAGAGAACAAAAAAGCATAAAATAGTTTTACATTCTGAAGTCGGGGCTTTAATTCTTTTTAAACACTATGTCTATGCACTGTTTGCTACACAATAAGAAAGTATTTTATTCTTTTTTGTCCTTTGAAGTCGTCCCTTACTTTTTAATGTTAATTTTTATCTTAATCTGTCAATAGCTATAAAAGTACGTGGTGGAGCCAAACTTTAGCTGTGTTATGGTTGTAACACGAATGGGTCGGCTCGACCGGAATAGGACCACGCTCTCACAGAATACCAGCGTAAAATAGCAGCTTAATACTGCTATGCTTCGTATGGTGAGTGTACTAGAAACGAGGCATTCCATTGTAGCCCTCAGGGGTGGCAACGCATCTGCGTTTTGATTCTCAATCGAAGATAATGCAAACTTCTATTGGCCACAGCATTCACTAACCATCAGGTGGACTGCTCGTTTGTCACAACCATTCTATTTTTAAAAAATAAATGCTGTGTTGCGAATCGGGCAAACGCACAGAACGAAAACATTAGTGTAACAGCGAATCCTAATAACAAATATTTTTGCTGTTCACTGATATTATAAGTTGTACTTTAAGTATATTACTTACATTAAAATATTAAAAAATATTGCGTTAGTGCGATGTTAAGAAAGACGATAACGATTGCCTTGAAACCAGTTTATGAGGGACAAATGCATACGAGAAACTAGTTGTTTCTCTCATGTATTAGCTGATAAAATTAGAAGCCTTTCGTCAGATTTGATTTTCGCCTTTCAAGTAATATTTAATGAGTTTTTAGTTTCGATACTCAGGTACAGTGAGGTATTATGTTTTGAAAATCTTATTGTTCTTACATCTAAATGCAATTTTGTTTTCACCTAAATCAACGACAAGTCATGTAAGGAAATTTCTTTAACTCTAATAGTTTACATTTATTTCACACTGCCCCATCTCAACCTCGAGTATAAATATCTAGAATTTCTAACCCTAGCACTTTAAGCGAGTATTACAGTAATCTCTTGTTTTAATTTATTTGAAACTAAGGTCATTTTGGTTTCATCTAAATTGACGACAAGTCCTGTAAGTACATTTCTTCAACTCTAATAGTTTACATTTACTTCATACTGCCCCATCTTAAATTCGAGTATAAATATCTAGAATTTCTAACCCTAGCACTTCTAAGCGAGTATTACAGTAATCTCTTGTTTTAATTTGTTTGAAACGAAGGTCACTAGCTAAGTAGTAAATGAAGGTAAAATTTTATATTATTATCATTTTAAAGTGTTTTATATTACGTATGAAGGTGTTTGATTTTTTTTGCTACGGTGACTGGGCGTTGACAGTTGCCGTCCGGAGACGAGAACGTTCGCAGCGTGACGCAAACCAGTTTTGATCACGAACCTCCTCCCACCCACTGCCGCGGTTTTGCCACCACATGTCATAATATAAGTCAATAAAATTGTGAGTGTATATTCTTAATTTTTTATTACATTACCACAATCTATCCGGTACCTTTCTCATGTCCACTTCTACGATAAACAAAAATTTAAAAGATTTCGCAATTTGCCGGATGTAGTTTTGTAGGTAGTATTTATACAGGACCGTTGATAAAATATGATAAATTGATTATATGATTACTGATGTTTTTTATTCTAAAAAGCTTCAGTATTTAAAATCAGCGTCTTAACAAACTTAAAGCTGAAGGGCCAGTGTTTACAGAATGCAAATTCCATATGTTATGATGGAAGTGGAAGAAAATGCATTATTTCATCTTCCGTCCTGGTGGATATCGTATAAGAGACAAGGGGAAATTACAAAACCCGTCAAAAGGTGTTATAACCAATCATTCTACGTGGTAGAGCCATGCTGCAATTATATTAGTAGTATAGTTGTAGCACGAATGGGTCGGCTCGACCGGGGAAGGACCACGCTCTCACAGAATACCAGCGTGAAATAGTAGCTTAATGCTGCTGTATTTCGTATGGTGAGTGTAGAGAACCGGAGACCCTTTTTACTGGAAATGAGGCGTTCCATCTCAGTTCTCACGGGTGACAACGCATCCGCATTTTGATTTGTAATGGAAGATAGATGTAGATGTCTATGGGCCGCAGCAACCACTTACCATCAGGTGGACTGTGTGCTCGTTTGTCACCCTATCCTATAAAAAAAATCAATAATAGCCGGATCAGTTTTCTGCCGTAATAATTAAATGCGTATAATTTCGTTGTTTTGAAAATAATATTGATACAAACAAAACCGGGTGCGAGCGCTTGTGTACAAAAAATCCACTAAGCCGAGAGGCATTGTTAACCCAGACAGGCTAACGGCATCGCCGCTATCTAGTCGCGCATCTTTTACATTGTACAGAACGGCGTATTCGCGCATCGCGGTACGTCGCGTGCACAGGTAGGTACATCAGTGTCCGACCTGCTAGTATACAGTTATAATAACAAATTATTACTTGAAAGCTATATCTGTAAATTTTATTCAACTACGTAGTAATTAAATTCTAATGAATCTCAAATAAATTCTTTAGAAACATTTTGAAATCTACTTTCGTAGTAAAGTAAGAAATTATGTTACAAACATTTCTGTAAAGTGTTCCTAATACCATAATTAAATTATGTATTATAAAATTATCAGATTTTGAAGAAAACATTAATAATTACCACAACCTCTACACACACCAAAATAATTTTGAAGTCCGTTATCGAAATCGTATATACTACAGGGGTTAAAGATATAAATTATACGGTTCATATATACAGATTTATACGTGTTTAAGATAAAAAATGCGTGATTAAAACTACTTTTACGGATTTTATCGCGTTTATTTTTACTTTTTTTTTTACTTTTATTTTTAATTCCCGACGTTTCGGGCGCTTTCCGGCACCCATGGTTGCTGGAAAGCGCCCGAAACGTCGGGAATTAAAAATAAAAGTAAATAAAAAGTAAAAATAAACGCGATAAAATCCGTAAAAGTAGTTTTAATCATGTTTAGTGTTCGCGTAAATATAAGAAATCATTATAAAAAATGCGTCTTATGTTTTAAACAATAGTTTTCAACATACGAGTATATTTTATTTTATAAAATCATCTATTCTTAGGGCATCGTTTTTTTAACTTTCTTTAGTAAAATAGTCAGAATATATGAAGAGCCATGATAATTATGGAGCTAGGCGTTTTCCATAATAACCACCGCACGTGAGCAGCTTGAGTTCGATCCTCGCCAACGGCATTTAAATTATCGATTGCAACTTTAAAGCGCTGGTTTACCACGTGCTTCGTGGTGAAGATCGACTGCATACACTTGGGCACTATAAGTGCTCCTGAGCACGAGAATTTCTTGACTGAAAACACCAATAACGGATTTTGACTCGACCCGGGATTCTAACCCAGGACCTCGTGATAGGTAACCGCGTTTACGTCCACTAGACCAACGAGGCAGTCGACTGTACTGTGTACACAAAACTGGGATAAAGAGAAAAGCTCTTTAGCTGAATATATTGGGTATCTATCGACATAGCAATAAGTTTACTAACTTCATTTGTTATCAAGTTATCTGATGTAAGTAATGAAAATTAAGTGTACTGTGAGATTTTTATCTTTATTTAATGGAATAGATCGAGGCCTCGTTGGATGTCTAATTACTAGGTAGATGTGGCCCACAAACTTACAAAATCTTTTTTTAGTTTTTACGAGTTTTATTTAAACAAATATGAGAGCCCTGTGGCTCGCCATAAGGGTGCTATCACATCAATCGATGGCATCGATCGATGGTGGAATGGACTAGGCGACGTCGATCGAGCTGCTTGATTATACGAGAACCAACCCCGCTCCACCGACCGCTATTTAATATGTTGTCCAGTTGAAATAAGCTATGTCTGGCCTTAAAAAACGGTCACATCCAGAGTCCACTACGTTTGAATTTCTGTAACAATAATAATACGAGCAAGAGCGTACACTATGCAAAAACGATTGGACGGATTTCCATGAAATTTTGTGTATAGGTAGTGAGGGACCCGGGGCAACTTGTACTTTTTATTCTGGCCGACAATATTATATATTACTTCAATTTTTTACCTCACGATTTTAAATCACCACTGCGTGAATTAACATAATTATGATTCAATGTGTTTACGTGGTAGATCCATGTTGCAGCTTTGTGGCACGAATGTGTCAG